CGCCGAAGCTCATCACCGAGCCGGTGCGCAGGCCCTCGGGCTGCGGATCGGTCGAATCCTCCTCGGTCTCGGCGCTCGCCTCCGCCTCGGCCTCACCGACCTCCACGGCCGGAAGGCCCGAGGCGACGCGTTGGTATCGGGTCCAGTTGCTCTGGTTTTCGGAGATGTCGCCAGAAGTGGCGACCTGTCGACGCCGGCGTAGGCGGCGTCGAGCCGCTCTCCTCCGCTCCTCCGGGCCCATCTCGAGCGGCCTCGAACGAAGCGCCGACTCGACAGCCGCGTAGTCAACACGACGACCCCGTTGCCAGACGAGACAAGCGTTGCTGTTGTTGCTGTCCATGACGACCATGGCATCTCGCATCGCTCGCCGAACAGCCTCACGTGCCGCCGTCATGTTCATGACGAGGCAATGAAGCCACTTACGAGTTGGCGGTTTGAAGCCTGCACCCACGGATCGATTGGCACAAAGCCCGCAGGGACTCGGCGCCGCAACTCGGACGAGTCCGGGGAGAGCAGGAAAAGGCAGCAGCAACAATCCGAGACCATCGTTGGCACAGCAACACGCGGCAGCAAGTTGGACTCGGTTGGGTGGCTACGTGTAGAATATGGCCAAGGCTAGACTGAACTCTTCATCAAGCACTTTCACTCTGAATGGAAATAACCTGAACAATTAGGAGGCAAGCGAGTCGTCGAAACCCAACTTTTCTTTGCATATACTTCATTCTTATTCAAGCTTTACTGATAGCCTTTAAAACGAGTAATTACGAAAACTGGCTGTCCTTTGCTATAATACTCGACTATGCTACTTATAAAGCTAATAAGTAGGATCATGTAAAAATTCCCTTATTATCATTTCATCAGACCGACCGATCTCGGCTCTGTTCTTCCATTCTAAATATGAAGAGCAACTGGGTTTACAGGAATCTCCTGAGCTAACATTATTGTTGGGACCTTCATTTCGTACGCAAGTGTATTAAGAAGAGATTCGAAAGTTGATTTCACCAGAATAGGACGGTTGAATCCCGTTGGGATGCAACCGTTTGGCTTTCATACGACTTTGAGGTTGAAGCAGTCCACGAGACCGCCACGGACTGAGATTTCATCTATGATGGACATCCTCAGAGCTGAGACTCAGTCTTGTGAAATTCTCGAGTCACCGCTAAGACGAGAATACTATCCGGCTCTATCTTACCTCATATTGTGTTAACTGGAGAATTTTACAAGAAAGAGTCCCAGCTCTGAGGGTATCCATCCTATGATGGTCG